AGCACAGGGCACTGTCGTTGCATAAGCACTAAAAACACATTTGTTAAGTGAATCAGTTCTCAACCTGGTGAACACATTCTGATTTGTAGACTGATTTGTATTAACATGCTTTTAAATTATTTTAAGTGTCTTTGTAAAATCTTTACTAGTAAGCTATCATTTTACCAGTGGTTGATAAGATGGGTGTTTTAGGAAACTTTTCACGACATCAATAACTGGACTTGCCATTAGATGGCTTTACTGGAAGAAGGCAGTGAGACATCCAGACCATGGTCAAGGATCCATCGGTGAATCTTATTTCTCATGGATCTCATCTGAGTTCCAACACATCTTTAGTCATTTCACCATTTTCCCAAATATAACAGTTTAATACAGCAATCTTACACAACATATACAGAATAAAGTCTAGGTATAGCAAAACTTTAGCTAGGTGTTGCTTAGAAACTCTCAATACTTCTGTCATTTCCTCATTTTCTCTTCAAAGCAAAGGAAAAAAAAAGCAAACAACAACAACAACAACAAAAGCCTAAAAACCTCTTAGCTCTTTCCTCTCACCTTCCTTAATGTCAAAATGTAATATAAATGATTTATTCTCAAGAACTACAGTCTTGAATGAAATTTTAGTGAACTCCAAACCTAATTCAGCATTAGATTCCCCAATGGTTGCATTTTTAATTTAAGTTTATTTATTTTTTCCATGAATGAAAGAGAGAGAGATAGCACCCCCAAACCAAGATCTTGACACTATGATCCAACTCCAGCTTTCAGTCAGTCATTCTCAGATGGTGGGCAAGCAAGTGCCTGACATACTTAGGGAGGTCTCTGGACTTGAACTGAGAACCTTCCATGTAGGATTGCCTTGCAAAGCATTGTGTTCTACTGCATATACCACAAACAGCCTCCCACTCCTAGTGGTTTCTTATCCATCATGACTGATTTTTCTCAGTCACACATAGCTTATTTGCCTATTTGACAACAGAAAAAAGATTAGAGAAGGTTTGAAAAATGTGGGTAAAATGAGTCAGAAAGAATAACTGGTCTTTGCTGGTGGCTAGAAAATATCTTGCAGTACTCTGGCTTTCCTGTCCTTTCCATATTGATGCAAAAACAGAAATAATAAAAATAAAAATGTTAATTATGAATTATAATTACTATTAAAAATGTATGGTGAGTACGATTGCTGTCTTATACATATATTAAGCATTTCAATTCTTGCAAATTCCCTGAAGTACTTTCTGCACTCCCATACAACATACCACAAACTAAGGCATAACGGAATAAATATACCCAGCAATACACAAAACAAGAATATAGAAGATCTATATTTTTAAAAATTAGAACACCACTGAAAGTAATTGAAAGAAAGTAATTGAAAGTAATGAAAAGAAACCTGAACATACCCTACTCTTAACATGTGAAGATTCAATATCATGGAGATATATTAAATTATACTTTTAACAGGATCTTAACGAAAACAAAAATTCTGCTTCAAGCCACACAAGATTATTCCAGAAATAATAGCCAAGAATTTCTGAGAAAGAGATGAATGAAGAAGAGCTAGTTTACTACATATTCAAGCATATTACAAAATAACTAAAAGGCTGTGGTTATGGCATGTGGTTATGCCAAGACAGTGAAACAGAGCAGAAAGTCTAGAAATAAGTGAATTCAGGAATTCAATATATGACTAAAAAGTAGCACCCTATATCAGTGAAGAAAAATATTACTCAATAGATAGCATTAAGACAATTTAATCATCTTAAGAAAATAAAATGTATTAATGATACCTTACATAAGGAAAAATTCTACAAGGGTAAAACATATTAAATGTAAAAATAAAAGCTTGAAACTACTAAAAGAAAATACAAGAGAACTTTTAATGATATCAGAGTAAAGAATGCTGTTGCTAATCTCATGTGTTATTTTTTTCGATTAATAAACTATGTCTCCTTTAAAAAAAAAGAATGCCTTTTCATTAGCAAGACAAGATTCTCGAAGTTAGTGAATGTTTTTTAATAAAATCAGCAAAAATGTCTTCATGGTTTTTAATAGTGGTAAAAGCCACTATTTTTAAAGTAAAAAGAAATTAAAACATGGAAGATAACGGTGGATGCAAATGGAAAGAGGTGTCTGAAATTCTTACGTGATGATGGAATGGTTCTGTGTGTTGATCGTGCCTACACAAATCTCCATGTGAAATAAAACCACATAGAACTTCGCAGACACATACACACACACATACAAGTTGAAAAACTAGTGAACACGGAGTAAGGGTGGTAGACTCCTAACAGCAATGTGCAAATGTCACTTCCCCTTTATGATACTGTGCTACTGTTTCATGAGAGGCTACCACTGTGGGGTTGCTAGGGGGAGGCTACAAACAACTCTACTATTTTTGCAATTTCCTGTAAGTCTATCATTATTTTGAAATGAAAGTGTATCATTATTTTGACTCTAATTTTAATAAAATTAGAACCAAGAAAAAGTAAAATAAAAACACTGGGAGGGAATGGTGCAGGGGTCCAGGTTCATGTCTGAAGACTGCCTCAAGTCTGCCAGGGCATGTATGTGCCCGGGATCTGGGGGCTGGCTGAGGTTTACAGTGAATCGTGACACCAAGACACTGTTGGAAGTTCTTTCTCTCAATCATGGAAGAAATAAATAAACTTATTAAAAAAAAACAAAACTGAGACTAGGGGGCTGTCTCACTGCTCATATCATGAATAAAGAGCTCATTTCTCAGGCCCAGCAGATGGCATAATGGTTACACCATGGGACCATGAGGTCAACTGCAGTTTGAATGCCAGACCTGGCAGCTTAAAACTCAGGCCGGGCGTGTGTGCATGCATGTCCAAAATCCTGAGAGGAGACTGGAGGAGAAGATTGTGGTGTGGCCATCTCCCTGGGGGGGTCATTTCTCACTTTCTGTCTTTGTCTTTCTCTATGTTTCTGGCAAGCACACATGACCTATAGCAAAAAATTCTCTCTCAAAAAAGCACTCATTTCCCGAGAGGTACAGGGCTCTTACAAGCCAACATGAAAAGGGCCAAAAACAAAACTCCAAAAAAAATGATACAGACTCTCCACAGGATGGATCTAAACATATGATATAATGATAAACATTCAATGCATGAGTCACACAAATTATAGCAATATGGCATTTTTTACTTGATTGGCAAAAAAATATAGAGTTAACACAAATTATAGCAATATGGCATTTTTTACTAGATTGGCAAAAAATACAGAGTTAAAACAAGCATTATCATAAACTGTTGATGAGAGAGTAAGTTAACACACAACTATGGAGGATGTTATCTGTCAAAATTAGAAGAGTTTGACTCAGTAAATTCCCTTTCATGAGATTTAGCCTATAATTAATTTGCACATATGCAGGATCATACGTATGGAAGATTATTCATTACAACATTGTTATCATAGTAAAAAAAATAGGAAGTGCTATAACCACAAATGACTAGTTAATGAAACTGTAGTACATCCGTGCTCGAAATAAAAGGGAGAAAATACTATGTGGCCACATATGTTGATCTCTGAGATTCATGGTAAACGGAGAAAGCAAGGAGCAGGACCGTCTGTATGTCATGCAACAATGTATGTAGAACTCGCATTCAGAGTTCATCATTTTTTTGGTTGACTAGTTACTGTTATGGAGTATACCACTATGTAAGCTGGTCGACTGATTTATTAGTTAGGTATTAGTGGCAATCTGGTATAGAATAAAACATCTATAAAAGAACAAACATTAAACTAAGACTGTCTCAGAAGAGAATAGGTAGGAGGGAGGTTTCCTATATATACTCTTCAATACATTTTTAATTTTTAATCATTCAAATGCAACACTTTTAAAAACAATTATTTTAATTAACAATATAGAGTCATTTGGCCAAAGAGTATAGTTCATGAATGTGCATCTATTTAGCAACAAATAACCTAATCAATAAGGAAATTCTTTTCACTCTCAGGGGAGATTAAAATTTCTCCCATTAGGAATCCAGTTCAAGCTAGTCTCTAAAATGTGCACATTGATGCATTTTAACAAAAATATTTAGCCCTACCTTAAAAGCACCCATCTCTCGATAAAATTTTTCCAAAATTATTTTTATGACCTTTGCATAGTAATTGGAGCAGGATAATTTTTAAGTTACATTTAAACATAAAATCTAAGAAAGGCTTCTTTCCTAAAAAGATGTTAAGCTAAGTAAAATTCTCGTCTGCTTTTCAGAGTAAGAAGTACATGTTTATTCAATGCAGATGTGACTTTGTGACTTTTGCTTAAAGAAAAATTGTCACAGAGACCATTTGAAAAAGGAGAAAGTTACAATTTGTCTTTGTTTAAAGGAATAGTAAACATGGAAGAAATCTGGCTGCCACTCAGACTTCAAAGAAGAGAAAAATCAAAGGGAGAACAATGGAAATATTAATAAAAAAAATGGAGTGGCATAAAAAGCCTTCCAGTGAGTGCAATAAAATTAAAAGCAAATTATCAAGATTTGGCAAAAGGAAAAGAATCTCCATACAGCGAAAGCCTATTTGAACACATAGCCCTGGCCACTGCCTTCCACACCTGTCCCTTGGTTAGTGACCACTACATTGTCCTGGAGAAGGCTGCTGCTTTCCTGTGCACATCGTAATTTGGTCACAGACACTAGCATTTTCTCTCAACTTCCCACATGGTTGAGTAAAGATGTTAACAGTTAATCAAGACTCCTAACTGAAGATTTTCAGGTAATAATAGGAGAGCAGTAGAAACATACTCTGAACTTCTGGACAGTGTTGACTCTCTGGGATCCATGGGACTCCATTTGAATAGCATGCCAAGAAAAGGAAGATTACTCAGTTTCCAGATTTTGTTCTCCTCCTTCAAAGAGGAGAGGCTCCATAGTCTAATCCAGTAGTCACGTGCCTAAGGAGACAAGCCTGTGTGTTGTGGGGAGGGCATGGGTCTGTCATCTTTGCCTGAATCTCTTCTGGGGATAAGGATATCACACCACCTTGGTCACCCAGAAGCCCCTGGCCAACAGAAGTAGCTGCCTGAGCATGCCTCGAAGCTTGAGGTTGCTGAAGATGAGGACGAAGGGATGAACAGATATGCATAGGTAGATTATAATTTGCCATGGCCAGTACCACTCACTCTGCGAGGAGATAAAGCCTGTAGCATCAATGATCAGGGACACAAAGGACAGGGCATAAAGAATGAGAAAGGAGATGAGGGACTTCAGAGCTCTGGTGTGAGCCTGGGTGCTGGGGTCCTGCAGGCTAGGGGAATTGTGCTGCATTTTCTTTGTATGCTTCCTCAGAGAATTGATCAACAGGACAATGGAGACCAGGAAGATAGAGCAAGGAATTGACAAAGTGATGAGTTTCAAGGGCAGGAAATAGTGGATCTCTAGCCTTCTGATCCAGTTCTTATAGGTCACGTTCTGAGAAGTTTTTCTGGTTAAGAATCCCTGGTACACAGCATGGTTCCCCCAAAAAAACAGCAGGGTTGCAATGAAGGAGATCAGGACTGAGCCCAGAAGCAGCCGGGGCACCCACCCTGAAAGCCTCCACCTCAGCCAGAGGAAGGTGGGGTGTGTGAAGTTCGCGATCTTCATGCAGAACAGCACGCTGAGCCAGGTGCCAAACCAGAAAGTGGCTGTATTCAGGAAGTCCCAGTGGAGACCAACGAACTGTCGGGCAAGACCCTTAGAATATTCCACTAGGTGGAAGAAATGGTAGAAGTTGCCCACCAACCCTACCCACTGCAGGCAGAAACGGGATGCTCCCAGGCTCACAAGGATCATGTCCGAGGGGAGTAGCCTACCATACCGCAGCCACTCCCTGCTCAGTACCAGCACAATGAAGCCATTTGCCAGGATCCCCAGGAGACACAGCAGGATAAAGAGCACCATGAAGAAGACTGTCAGTGCTAGTCGCATTTCCTCCTCCAGTCACCACCAGGGCACCTTGGTCCCTGGTCTCTTCCCTTCCCCCACCCACGGCCCCTCTTTTGACCCTTCCTGGAGGTGTAAGAAGAGCAGTCAGGCTCTGTTTCTAAATCAGAGTTTAGAGGAACAGAAGGCCAGATTAGGGAGGAAAGGTTTGCTGTAGGCTCAGAGAGGATGCAAATTTCCCCTGGGCTCACTTACCACTAGGCCTACCAACTACCTCTGATTTGCCTTTTCTGGTTTTGCCTGTATGCTGCTGTGGTTAGCCTCAATGTAGAGGATTCCTCAGGGTCTCTGTGACTGAGTTACACCCTTTCTTAGTCATCTCTGGGCTACATGAACACTCCTCTTCCCATCAGATCATTTTTAAGGTTTTAAGCACATAGACAAGTAAAAGGAGAGATCCAAGAGAAATAGTCGCACCCAAGAAATCTCTCTCAGGTGAGCTTTCTTATTGTACATCACTCTCACCTATGAACAGACATTCCTTCAAAGTCAAATCCCAGTAGCAACAAGTTTCTATCACACATAATGGACCACACAATTCAAATTCTCCCCCAGAGGCTTGACAAACTCCTTGGCCCATATATGTGCATATCCTAAATCTGTACAAGATGAAGAAATGGAGCAGAAGGAATGACAGTATGACCACACTCAATTGGGGCAGTGCTTTCTCTCTCTCTCTTCCTCTTTTTCTTGCTCTCTAGAAAATGTGCATGCCCTCTAGCAAATTTTTAAAAAAGGGGGCAGGGGGGATTAAATGCCTTGGTATACCTTCTCTTTCAAATCTCTGCTTACTTCCTTCATGGACCCTGAGGTATAAATGATTAATAATGGTTTGAACTGGCTTTGAGTTTCCAATGAAAGAATTAATTTTCTGCAGTTGAGGGACCTTCAGGAGCAAGACAGAGGATCCCTACTTCTTGCTGGCTGTCAATTGGAGCCATTCTCAGGTCCTAGAGGACTCCTGCAGTATCTGCCAAGTGAGTCGTTTCCACATGGTGGCTTACTTTATGGAGCCAGCTAAGAATATGTGGAGGGTGTGCTAGCAAGTCTGCTAGCAAGGTGGAGTCTTGAATAACAACACAATCACAGGAACAGCATCCTATCGCCTTTGCCATAAACTATTGGCTAAAAGAAAGTCACAGATACCATCAGCACAAGAGAGAGAGTTACACAAAGGCCCCATACCAGGGTTGGGGAGCATGGTGGGCTACCTTGTTGTCTATCTGTCACACTGAGATATAACCTACAAGGTGCTCCAACACCAACATTGAAAAGAGAGCTCTATGAGACCATGGGGAAAAGTACAAGATCTTTTTTAACATATCCATCACCTCACATAGTTTCTATTTTCCATTTTTCTGTATGCCAAGAGCATTTAAGATTTACCTTGTTAGTTCATTTCAAGAATACAATATAATATTAATTATATTCCGGTTAATACATATTACATCTCCAGAATGTATTCACTTACCATAACAGGAACCTCACACTTGTTGATCAACATCTCTCTATCTCTGTCTCCTTAAAGCCCTGCCAGCCACCATTCTACTCTCTGTATCTGTAAGCTTAAATATTTTATGTTCCATATATTATTGAGATCATGTAGCATTTGTCTTTCTCTATCTGGAATAGAGAAAGGCACATATTGTTGCATATGACAAAGTCTCCTTTTTTAAAGGCTGAATAATAGTTCATTGTGTATGTACATAACACATTTTCTCTTTTTTTTATGTTATTTTTGCTATTGGGCACATGTGCTAACCAGAGAGACAGAAAGCAAGAAATTATCCCCCAGGGGGATGGCCACACCACATTCCTTTCTCTTCTATTCTCCTCTCGGGATTTTAAGCACACACACACACACACACACACACACACACACACAGACACACACTCCGAGCATGAGTTTTAAACTATAGTTTTATGGTATTTTCATATCTTGGTTACTGTAAATAACTTCTTTTTTTTTTTTTTTTTTAGATTTTTTGCCATTAGAGCATGTGTGCTCACCAAAAAGAGATAGAGAGAGAGGGAAAGCGAGAAATCACCTTCCAGGAAGGATGGCCATGCCACAATCCCTTCTCCTGCATTCTCCTCTAGTGATTTTGGGCATGTATGCACATGCATACAATATGTTTTTCAAATCACCAGGTATGGGACCCAAACCATGGAATTGGCCATGTGGAATCCAGTGCCTTAACCACTACACCATCTGCACATGAATAATGTCTAAGTGAAAATGGGTGTATAGATATCTCTTTGACATACTGCCTTCTTTTTCTTTTGATATATACTTAGGGATTGGATTTCTGAATCATAAGGAAGTTCTATTTTTTTTTTTTTTTGAGGAACTTCCATACTGTTTCCCATAGCAATCGTACCAATTTACATTACCACTAACGGTGAACACGAGTTCTTTTTCTCCTCACCAACATCTGTTATTTCTTTTCTTATTTGATAATAGCCCTTCTAATGGGTGTGAGGTGATAGTTCATTGTGGTTTCTCTTTGCATTTCCTTGATGATTAGTGATGCTGAACATGTTTTCAAATACCTGTTGGCCATTTGTATTTCTTCTTTTAAGAAGTGTCTATTCAGCTTCTTTGCCCAGTTTTAAATTGAGTTGTTTGTGGGTTTATTTTTAATAAGCTAAGTTCCTTACATATTTTGGATATTAATCCCTTATTATCTATGTGGTTCATAAATTTTTTTTTTCCTAATCTATAGGTTGCCTTTCACCTCTGCTAATTGTTTCCATTACTATGTGAAGGCTTTTCAGTTTGATGCAATCCCATTTTCTAATTTTGTTTCTCTTGTTTATGCTTTTGGTGTTCTAAAAATCATTGTCCAAATCAATGTCAAGATTTTTTTCCTTATGTTTCCTTCTAATGGTTTTATGATTTCAGGTATTGCAGTTTTAAAATCCATTTTGAGTTGATTTTTATACATGTGTAAGATAAGAGTCCAATTTTATTCATCTGCATGTGGATATATAGTTTCCCCAACACCACTAATTAAAAGCACTATCCGATCCCCATTGTGTGTTCTTGGCACCTTTGTTGAAAATCAAATGACTGTAGATGTTAAGATTTATTTCTGGGTTCTCTTTCTATTCCATTGATTTATATTTCTAGTTTTATGACAGTGCCATATTGTTTGATTACTGTGGCTTTATAATGTATTTTGAAGTCAGGAACTGTGATATCTTCAGCTTTATTCTTGCTCAGAATTATTTAGATTGGGCAGTGTTTTTGTGGTTCCACATGAACTTTAGGGGTTTTGTTGTTGTTACTTTTGAAAGATTTTTACTATAGGGCATATATACTTGCTGGAGAGACAGAGAGACAGAAAGCAAGAAATCACACCTCCTCCTCAGGAGAAATGGCCATGTCTCAATCCATTCTCCTCTTGGGATTTTGAGCATGCATGCACACACACTTGGCATGAGTTGTAAGCTGCCAGGTCCAGGACTCAAACCATAATTAACTATATGGGAGTCCAGCAACATAACATTATGCCATCTGCTGGTCCCTGGTTGCTTTTTAATTTCTGTGAGAAAAAAAATGCCATTGAGATTTTTACTGGGATTGTGATGAATCTCTAGATCACTTTGAGTAATATCAATATTTTGACAATATCAATTCTTCCAATCCATGAATATGGGATATATTTCCACTCATCTGTCTTCTTCAATTTCCTTCACCTATATTTTATTATTTTATTGTACTAGTCTTTCATCTCCTTGGTTAAGTTAATTTCTATGTATTTTATTCTTATCAATACTATTTTGCATAGAATTACTTTCTTAATTTCTTTTTCAGATAATTTGTTGCTTGTGCATAAAAATCTGACTGATTTGTTTGTTAGTTTTATATCCTACTATTCTAGTAAATTTATTTATTTAATTATAACAATTTTTTGTTGAGTCTATGGAGTTTCCTACATATCTGATCATGTTACTTCCTTTCTGTCTTGAATGAATTTTTTTTCTAATTGCTCCAGCTAGGTCTTCCAGTACTATGTTAAGAAGTAATGAGAATGGGCATCCTTGCCTTGTGCTGGATTTTAGAAGGGAGTTTTTAAGTTTTCCCCCATCAATTATGTTGTTACCTACAGCCATTTTATACAGGACTTTTATTGTGTTGAGGTAATTTCCTTCAATACCTATGTTGTTAGAAATTTTAGTCATAAATGGATACTGAACTTTCTCAAGTGATTTTGCTGACTATTGAGAGGATCATATGGGTTTTTATTCTTTATTCAGTTCATATACATTATTGCATTGATTAATTTGTGTAAATTGAACCATCCCAGCATCCTAGGGATAGATCCCACTTAATCTTGGTGTATGGTCTTTTCATATGCTGTTAAATTTAGTTGATTAGTCTTTTTTTTCCTATATGACAAGTTTTTATTTGTATTGAATTACAGAATACTACAAATAAGTATAAGATTATGATTTGAATACTATAATATAACCTAATATTTGGCAAATTACTTCATTATCCAAAGCTTTATTACATGTTTGAGGGCACACTGAAGAGATTACTTGGCATAACTTGGTAAGATAAGTATTTCTGTACATTTTTGATCATTTGTCATGTCTGTCTATTCACTTATGTGTGTATGTATGTGGACACACGTACACTCCTAGATTAAGTCTATTTGTATAAAAAGCTTAAGATTGACGTTAGACTTAATTCCTTTTAAAAATCTATTATAGGGTACAGCAGGTGGCATGGTGGTTAAGGCACTTGACTCCTACATGAGTGACCACAGTTTGAGTTCCAGCTTGAAAATCACACTAGGCACATGCCCAAAATCCTGTGAGTAGAATGGAGGAGAAGAGATTATTGCATCGCCATGCCCCAAGGAGGTAATTTCTCATTTTCCCTCTCACTTACTCCCTCTGTTTCACTCTGGCAAGCGCACATGCCCTATAGGAAAAATCTTAAAATAAAATAATCTATTATATTAAGTTACATC